GAAGTCTCCAAATCTACCTAAGGCGTCATAGGCACAGTCAGTGGATACATCATTTCCACTTTCCTGTTTTTCCATGGAAACAATGAAGAAATTATTCCTCATCCTACTTTCACTCCAAACACTATTTTTAGTGTTAGCATTTGCTATGGAAACATTCACTTAGTTCTTTCACCTAATGTCATATCATTTCACTGATAGAGACAAGGGGAGCCTCTCCAGCAGTTTCCAGAAGAGAGCATATGTTTTGGGTACCAAACAACTGCTTTATGAACATGTTTTTGTTTATAACTCAGTCAAAAATAAGGAACTGCCCAAATAGCAACAACGTTCCATGATTTTTAAAAAAAGTACATTTCCTTTTTTATATTTGTTTATATTTTATCTTTTATTTATAATCTGTCAAATGAATAACATCTATCAAATGTTGCTAATTTGTTTTACCAAGAAGATCAGCTTTCTGTCAGAATTTTACTGGTGATTACCAGAGACTAAGGAAGCTACGGAGTGAGAGGTGGGCAGGTGCATAATACAGCCTCTTTTAGAGGCAGGTGTGAGGTGTAGCTCAGTCATCACTGCATAACCTGTGGCTAGTTGCCCAACGTGGCCCCCATACAGTGGGACTGAAAAACATGATTTCTAAGACCCTGGACAGACCTCGCCTTCCAAATTTGAATTTTAGTCACGTAGCACATCATGCTGAGGAGGCAAGACAAGCTCCAGGAAGCTCCATCTAAATGAAAATCGTGAACCGCATTGGGTACTCAGAAACACAGCAGTGTGTTCATTGGCAGAGATTATCACTCTTATTCAGTGCCTTACATTTATACTCCCACATTTGTTCTCCTTGCTTCTAAATTAGTCAGTGTAAAGACTTTTAAAAGATTAGCTGATTTAAAGCCACATTTGCAAAAGAAGCTATGTGGGCCAGCACATAAATCAGATATATGCTTGTTTTATCTCTCTGCCTAAAAGAAAAGTAGCAGTTTAGACTTTTTCTTCATAAGCTTAATTAAAGTTCTCATTTCTCTTATTTAAAGTATGATTGCATACAAACATAAAATGGGGATTGTTATGGGCATTGTGCCAAAATAATCTTTCAGAGTCATCCCCAGTCCCGGAAGCTGATAACTGGGCAAACAAATATTTGTTAGGTTAGAGTAAGACTTTTATGGAAAGTAACAATATTAATGTTAAAAACCAGCAAAACTATGATTCTTAGATGGCATAATGAACACACTTTGTTTTAGAGGGAAGGACTAAAAATAAGTCTTACAAAATTTGGCCAGGTTAAAATCAAAAGTATTTTTGAGTTACCAGAAGATACTGTTTGGACATTTCTGAAAGGTCTCTAAATTGCTGAAAGGTATTAAATGGCTGCCCAAGTATCCAAAATTTCAGACTATTAGTGTTTGGCATTTGTGGGGGAAAAAAGTGGGAATGCCTGGAAGAGATTCAGCTAAGAGTCTGAGTCCCTTTAGTGCAGTTTGAATGATAACCTCCATTTAAAATGTTAAAGTTCTTCAGCTGGAATTCAGCCAAGGCGTGTTTAATGGGACCTCTGCTATAGACTGTGTAAGTAAGTAGGGATGGAGAAGTGGGGTTTCCAGTAATGAGTAAGGAATTCTAAAATAAATTTTGTATTAGTTTCCTATTGTTGCAGTAACAAATCACCATTAATTTAGTGGCTTAAAACAGCACAAATTAAAATTCTAGAGGTCAGAACTCTGATACGTGTCTCATTAAGCTAAAATCCAGGTGTCAGCAGGATTATGAATCCATTTCGTTGCCTTTTTGGGCTTATAAAGGCTGCCCACTTTCCTTGGCTTGTGGCCCCACACCTCCACCTTCAAAATCAGCAATACTGACCTGAGTCCTTCTCACACTACCATCTCTCTGGTCCTCATCCACCTCTCTCTTCCATTTTTAAGCACTCCTATGATTACATCGGGCCCACCCAGATAATCTAGGAAAATCTCCCTATTTTAAGGTCAGCTGATTAGCAAACTTATTTCCATGCTTGGTAACTTTAATTTTCTCTGAAGAAGGAAGCAAAACCATTTGTTCAAAGGAGTATGATGGGGACAGAGAACATACGCCACATGAGAGCAGTCAGGGCTAGTTGCTCTGGAGAACAGGAGAAGAAGCCGCCCACAAACAAATGAAAGTATTGTCCAGTTGTGTCCTTTGGGTCTTCTTCTACCTCTGATTCAATCAGACTCTCAGACCCATTCATAGCCATTGACTCAGGAATTCCTCCTCTGGATCT